AGAAATTTTTTTTAACTCACCTTTATCCTACCAACCCCCTCTAAAATATACTTTTAAATGTAAATGTCATTATAGCTCATTTGAATATTCCCAAAGCCCCTGTCCTGAAGATGTTTATGTGAAAGCTTAATATTAAGGACAGCCACAGATTCAATGGTGCAAACCGTAACAGAAAGAGACTACGTATCTTTTGGGGTAAATTTTGAACTCCCATAACTGTTAGTTATTTTCCATCTAATTCCACATTTTTATACATAAATTTGGTGATGGAGGTTCTTATTTTGAATACATTTCTGAAAACGGTATTGTTTTATATATTGCATGAATGGGTCTTTAAGGAATATTAAGAAATGGAGCCTATTTGGAACACCGGGAACGAGGAGTACTCATAGCTGCTTACATCATGCTGAGTTTCATAATGGTGCGTGGGTGGGGAAGATTGGTAACATTCTTAAGCATGTCCCTGCTAGCTGGTGTGTACAGTTGTTAGAAATGACTAGACTTGACATCAGAGCTTCACTATACACATCAGTAGTCATGATCCATCTATCATGCCTAGGTTCTGAAATTTGGAATAAAGTTTCCTAAGAGATGGAATCTAGAATAAAATCTACAACTTAAGCCTGGAGGGATTTTTTGCTCCTAATATTTGGGAGAACACCTTTTTGGTTTAATTTGATATAAGAATGCTTGACACATCCTCCTTCAGCAAGGTTTTCTGACAATAAAATTAATTTAGGAAGAAGCACAAGTATACCTTCCATAACTTTAAACAAGCTTAGTTCTGGGTTAATGGAACAAAACTTTACCTAGGGGCAGAGAAATATAGAACATGCTTAATATAATGATTTAACTGGTGACATTTGGTGGGATGCTGCTGCTGTAATAATAGGAGAGACTGAGGAGTGCTGGTTTCACCACTGTTAACTTAGCCCTAAGCAAGTTCATTAAGTTTAAAAAACTGTATCCACATTTTATAACACATAATTCCATACAAAACCTTTTTTGATAGAAATATTTTATTGAAATAAATGTGGTGGTTTGCTAAAATGCTACAATGCTTTCAATGAACCTTTTAAAAATCCAGTCTCTCCTCTTCTGTTAGAAACTCTTACTCAAAAACAGAGGCTCAGGGCAGTGAAACAAACAAATCTGCATGAACAGAGAAGTTCTATATCACCATTTGCAGGGATCCTGGTTTTCCCTGACAAAAAACCCAGCAAATTCTCTGATAAACCCCCCAAAATCTGTGATTAAAATGAAAGGCCCCTCACTCACCCTCCACAGCCCTCTGGCCCTGCTGGTGCCCCTCACTCCCACCCCAGAGCCCCCGGGGGGGGCATACCCCTGAGATCTGTATATGGGGTGGGGTTGAGGCAGGCTGTATAATGTGGGCTTGGGGTCCCACCCTGCTCCCTCCCCTGGGGCCTCCGCAACCTGGCGGGTGCAACCTGGGGCTGCAGGATGCGGGGGACCATGCAAGGATCTCCTTCCCGCTGCACGCTCTACACTGCCCTGGAGATATGCCTCCTGCACGCGTGGCAGCTTTGAGGGGCGCAACCCTGCACCACCACCCCCTCTGCTGCCTCATACGCAGGGGATGTATTGTCAAATCTATATTTTCCTTTGGTAAAATGGAAAATCTGTGTTTTTTTCCGTTTCCCCATGAAAAACAAAAAATCCAGATCCCTGATCATTTGGAAGTGGCAACAACCAGGATTAGCCCGATCTTGGCAGAAGTAAGTTTCACAGTCTTCTGTACTCCAGAAAAAATATTATTTTCTCAATGCTTTTGCAATTTATGGGGTGTTCAGATCTGAGAAATCCTGGTCAGGTCACATCACTAAGAATTGTGTGTTTAGGAAACACCTATATAATATAGTTAACTAAATAAAAATTCTCAAGAATTAGCTTTAAAAACTTAACAAAAAAGTAACATAATGTAGAAAAAAAGTTTTCAAAAGGTACTGCTAAAAGACTGAGTCTAAAAGACTGAGCACCAAATGCGCACACATACAAAATGCAAGGACCAAAATCATTAAATAATAAATACAGATTGTTTGTTTATTTCATGGTAGCAGGTAGAGAAGTGACATATAATGAGATGCTGTCTTCTAACACACAAGACTGAATAAAAGGTTCTTAAGGGGGCTATAAGATATCAGAATGTTCCCATATAAACAATGAGAAAACAGCAAATGAAAAGAAAGCAAACACTGGGAAACATCACAATAGGTGATAGAATTATAAAATACTTTGGTTAAATCTTGTTTCTTCAAGAACTTGTTGCAAATGTTAACCTGGTTTCCAATAAAGGTGGCAAAAAGTAAGGATACCACTGCAAGGTACAGACAAGAAGTGACTCCAGCAGAGAGATATTCTAATGTGTTACTAACAGTATGCATGGAACAGCAGCTAAGTATAAAAATTTAATAAACAGAAGAAGATTTATATTTCTGGCAGGGACAACTGAACCTGCTATAATTAGTCACGCTAAATTATATCCTTAAATATTTTTAAAATATCCTCCTGAAGACTCTGAAAAGTGGAGAGATACTTGCTACACTGTAAATATTTTTTGTAAGCAAAGCTTGGGTATTTGAAACAACCAAAGAAAGTAAATGATGTCCTTCATCTAGCACTTTCAGGACAGCTGTACTGACATGGTACAGTAAAAGCTGTGATATCTGACACTTTACCATCCGGAATGCTCCATTAACCGGCATCTATCATAGACGGCATCTGTTGTTTACCGTAGTGGATCGATACAGCAAAAGCGAAACTGGAAGTCCCACCGTGGCACTTCCGGTTTGCTGAGTCCTACTTCTTCCTTGACGACCATGGCCCGGGGCAAAGCAGCCTGCACGGGGCCCCCCTCCCTGTCTCCCGACACACTGACACCAGGGAGTGAAAGCCCTGGTGCACTGGCAAAAACACCTCCAACCCGCTAGAAGTAAGTTCTCAGATAACCGGCATATTTGATTAACTGGCACCCCCATTCCCTATGGATGCCGGATAAAAGAGATTTTACTGTACTTAATTTAGCAGTAATTAGAGATTAAGGCAGTGGCTATACTACAGATTTCTGTAGTTTAACTGACAGATGAAGTTATCTCTGACCAAAGTTTCTGTTGACAAAAACTCCTGATATGTACTTACGGTTTTGTCTATAGTTCAAGGCTGCAATGAACAACAGCTTTGCAGACAAAAGCATGGCAGCAGAGCCCCCTAGTGGGTGTATGCTATATACTAGCAGAAGGGTTTTTTCTGTTGGCTATGCTGTAACACCTCCCCAAGTGACCAAAGTTGAGTTGGAAAAACCTGCTTGTCAGCCTAGCTGCATCCAGGTGGGGGAAGACAGTGGCAAGACTGCTGGAAGAGCTTGGTTGTTTACGTGGTATGATCTGGCCATCCCCCTACCTGACATCATTATTCCAGCAAAACTTTGTAGTGAGTGAAGACCATGCTTTTACCAGCAAAAGTGTAGTGTTATATGAATGATTTTTTATTCATGCACAGTGGTTTACTATATAGGTAGAAAGTAAAGCTTTGTTAATAGAGGTTCACCAACATTAAGAGCATTTTGTTGGCAAACTATATTAGTATTCCTATTAGGGATGTAAATATAGTTTAAAAAAAATCTGTTTAACTTACTCTAATTATACCGGTTAAACAGTTAACTGATAATGCAGCAGCTCAGATAAGGCTGCTGCTTCAGCTGGTCCCTATGGGAGGTTGGTGAAGAAGAGGAGATGGTGGCAAGCCCCAGCCAGATAACACAGCTCACCTGAAGCCCTGAAGTTGCAGGATAGGAGGGAGGGAGCACCTATGAAGAGCACCTAATTGCTTAACCAATGAGTCATTTGACGCCCACTGTTTGCCTCTTTAACCATAGGTAAGAGGGCTACTAGTCTCCCCTCCCCTTCTCTTTGCCCCTCCCTCCTGCCTGCCCTGCCACTTTCCTGGGGCACCACACGGTTTCCCTCCCCTCCCTTTTCTGCCAGACTGCGCCCTGTCCTGCACTAAATGACAACTGGTAACCTAACTGGTAATTATTGGGCTTATGGGTTAGACAATTAACTGTTTAACTTTTCACATCCCTACTTCCTATACTGATAAAGCAATCTTAGTGTAAACATAGGTGAATTGGATACCTGAAAGCACAGTGCATACTGACTTCATCGAAATGTTTCATAGCTGGTATCTAACAAATTCCCTTGTGAGTTATTTCTAGTTATTTTCATTGTCTTTTACCTGTAAATAAACAATCTTCTGAAACACATCTTCTCTCATGCTCATCTCCACATCAAAATGAGAAAGCTTTTTGTCAGCTTCTGTGCTTGCTAAGCGTACTTCCTTGTTGGATGAGACATGCTGAGGAAAATCCAACATGCTTCTTTCCACTGTTTAAATAAAAAAAGAAACAAAATCAACTGCAATAGCTATTTACAAAGCAGTACACCCACATGAATCTCTCTCAGGATATGGAAATTTCCCAGTAATGGATGAATTACTTCAGTAACTTTCTTCTTTTTAATTTTTATAAAACCTTTCAGAAACAAACTTATGTAAACAAATTCCTGAAGAAATCAGTGATTAGGACTGCCACCTAATTAAATGATTAATGATAATGTAAGGAGTGACTTAATGAAGGAATGTAATTATATATCATTAAAGCAAACAAATATTTCACAGGGGTTGTTCATTATCAAAAACTAACTGACCTGGGAAATGATCCCAGTTTAACAACAGTACACAGTCATTTTCAAATTAGTAAAAGATAATATTGACATATATGCATGTTAGTATTATAAGTAGTGGAATTTTTAAAAAGATGAAGCATGTACAAGTCTAACATGCTTAACAGCATGCATGATGGTATAAATTCTTCCTGGATACTAGAAACACCACTATTTGAATCTTTACATCATGACAATTTCCAGTTAAAATATTAAAAAATAGCCAGGTGTGAACAAGTCATTTTGCAACTAATTTAGCAAGAAATAAGACCTAAATTGACTTGTCATCACTGAGGTCTACTAGATAGCATAAGCTAAATAACACAATTTTACATGGACATGAAAAACTAAATTTGTACTGCGAAGTTACCATACTAATTACAAAAATGAATGTAGGGCCTACCCTAAGAACTTTGCTGAACTTCTCGTTTTCTACCATTTGTCTCCAATAAGGACAGCTACAGGATAAGTTTGCCTCAGACCATTGTACAGTCAGGAAGTGCTAGGCCCTATGCTTCCACTTTTTTCAAGGAGGGAACTCATCTCTATTTTATTCCAGGACTGGGCTCCTGGTTTGAGCACCCCTGTTTTTCCCAGTGATTTCAAAAGATCCAGAATTCCTATTACAGGAATCTCCCCTTTGAGATATATGCAACAATGGATGTTTGCAATGACATAGGACAGGCTTTTCACAGAACAAGTCATCTTTTAAAAAACATAGTTCTGATGCTGTTTCATATCTCCCTTAGCTGCAAATCATTAAAAGCTGATGGCTGGTTGTTGATCTTCTCTTGAGTCTCTGAGCCAACTGCATTCATATATTGATGCATTTTGATGGTTCATGTAGAACCCAAAACAGTTACGCCTGAGTTACTAACAGTCCTCTTTTATTCTCCTGACCCAGAAAAGATATTAATTCTTTCAAGTTCTAATAGGTCATAATACAGAATCACACATATTTTTCATTAAAATATTACAAGTATTCCTCACATCTTCCACTGATTCCTCCTGCCTGCTGTTATCATCTCAGGCTTTTTCCCTGTTTTGAGTTCACTTGCTGGACTCAGATCCCTGAATGGCTGAACAGAGCAACAAATCTGCATCCAAAAGCAATTAAAAAGTGGGGTATCTTATGTGTAGGGGTCTACCTAAATTGCAGGGGGGGCTTATCAATTTTGGTGGGTTGATTGCAGTGTAAAGTTCTCATTCCTCGGTCATTTTCCAGTGGCCCTGCCCCTCAGCACCAACTGGCAGAGAGGTCCCAATGGGGGATGGGGGTGGGTGGGAAGGGACAAGGGGGCGGCCTCCATCTGGTCTGCTGCCCTTTACACCGCCTTGCCAGCTGGCATCTTTCCCTCCTGGCAGCAATGACTGCTAGCTCAAGGGACTCAGCGTTTTATTTTTATTTTTTGTTGTTGTTGATTTGGAGGACAATCCTGGATTTTGCAGTGTTCACAAAATTCACAAAAACATGAGTTAGGTAGGTCCCTACATGTGTGTACTACACACATTTTAGTTCATGTTGTTGCATAGTGCCCCCTAGTGACTCCATGTTGTTATTTAAAAAGATAGCAAAGAGGGTAGACACTTGTAAGACTTGACACACAAGGACTTTGACTGTGGAAGAACTGATGATGTTCATCATGCCTTTCTAGATGCAGCGTGGGAAATTACTTAAACTGAAATCAGAACAAACCTGGTAACTCTTGATATGTCTCTAAAGCAGGACAGCAGGATTTCCTAACTAATAGGGTTTACTGTCATGAACAGATCCAGAGAAATTAGCAGAGATGGATTTCCTTTCTGAAATTGCTATTTTCTGTAGCCAAGGCGGCCATAGATCCAGCTGACAGCTGGGGACTGCTCTTTTTGCATGATTTCTAAAACTCTCTGGTAATAAACAAAATAATTAAAAGGAAGGAATTAGATCCCTCATACGCACCTGCATATTCCACTTCTATATCTGCCAAAGCCTGGATTGTGTTTCCATATGTTACTTTTTCCGTATCAAGCATTGCAACATGGTCATACACTTGTTTTGTTTTCCTGATCAGTTCTTCTGTCCTTGTTCTAATTTGCTCTGGTGACAGATCCCACTTCAAAAGGTTTTGGCCCACTGTTACATATGAAGAGGCCTTGCTTTGGGTAGTAATTTCTGTTCCTAAAGTCATTCTCAGCAAAAGCCTTTGGCCACCAGCTCTGAAATTATAAATGAATTTTGGAAATTAAAGATCTAATTCAAGTGAAAAATATATTGAGGATATTTAAAAAAGTATATAATCTATTTTAAGACAGTATTATCCCTTGTGTAGCATGACTCTAAACCAGGGGTGGGCCAAATACAGCCCACTAGGGTAGGCACCCACCAATAAATTATATCCAGCCTGGCCCGCTGCTGCCCCTGCTACGGTTCACATAGAGCCAAGCCCTGCTCACTCCTACTGCGGCAGTGTGCTGTGCTCCTACCCTTGCCTGTGGGAGGGCCCAGGCCCTGGACAGAGTGTACAGCTTCCAGGTGAGGTTGCTACTGCTGCAGTCACCCAGGGAACTGCTTGGCTCCCCTGGCCTTCAGCAGCTCCTCCTCTTGTCCCTGCTACAACGCTCCAGGCAGCAGGTAGGGAAATAGATGCAGGTGGGGGCTGGAGCTGCAGTTGGGTGGGAGTGTGGGGCCCACACTGGGGCTGGGGTGGGCGACATGCTGGGAGTGCGGGAGCCTGGGCTGGGGGAAGCACGGGACCCCATGGCTCACATGCAGTTCCTGGGATTCAGCCAGACCACGCACCGCCCGAGGGAGTCCCGTGTGAGGGAGCTGGCGGCCTGGCTCTGGTCCCTGCTGCCATGTGCAGCTCCTGGTGATGGGGAGTCTCATGTGATGAAACCTAGCTGACTCGACCCCACTCCTTGCTGTCCCAGCCTAGTCCTAGTAGCTGCACGTGGGAGAAGGAAGTAGGACCAGGCCATCACATGTGGTCCAACCGAGTCCTGGGAGCTACATGTGAGCTGCGGAGAGCCCTGCAAAATGGAGCCGGTGACTTAGCTCTGCTCCCTGCTGCCACGTGCAGCTTTCACGACTTGTCTGGAGCTGCTGGGAGGCTCTGCTTGCTATGGGCCATAAGTGTCCCAAGGGGCATTGCGGGGTGGGGGGGGGTATGTGTGTGTGTGTGGAGGGAACCCACAAGCAGACCCCACCATAGCCACACACCCCCACCCTCAAGGGGCGAAGTGACCCGTGCAGCCCTCGACAGCTCATGAAAACTCGTTAAATGGCCCTCCAGACAAAATAATTACCCACCCCCGCTCTAACCAGTTGCACTGAAATAAATCTGAAATAAGTAAGTCTTCCCCATTTACAGAGTTGACCAAATGCCCTCAAATATGCTCTTAGACATGTAGATAAAACCTTTTGGTTTCAACAAAAACAAACAGAACAGTTTTCTTAGAGGATCACACTGTTACTTGAAACATTAATTACTGAAATTCCATGGAACCAGACACAAGTATTTGGCATTTGAGACAAGAAAAAGAGAACATACAGACAAATGTAAGTTTTTAAGACCGCTGGTTGCATGCAACACTAACAATGGCAAAAATCATTTCACGTGGAAGTGCTCATCAAAATGAATAGGTTTATACTTATACTGAATGTCTGCTGCATTGGAGCCCATGAGGGGAAATTACCTCACAGCCTCCTACTTCACAGTTTACTCCTTTAAATGTTGCATCTCTTATGTGATTAATTCATATGGTAGTTTTGCTATTACTAGAAAAGGAACAAAGATTTCTCATTTCTATAAATAACCATTGTGTTCAATGAATTTAATTACATTTAATTAACTAGATACAATTTAATTAACTGTATATCAGCCTTGGATATGCTGATCCCTACAGCACTGGGATTGACAACTGCCTTTTTGCTCATCATTGTGTCAAGGTACACACATGGTCATGATTCAGGGCTTACTGGAAGAGGAGGAACTTCCAACACTGTAGGGAAAGGTGGTGCTTGTGTTTTTTTTGATTCACCAAAATACAGAGGAAACAAAGCACTACCCCTTGAATTAACTTATTGACCTGCCTCTACTCCTGCTCCTCCCAAGAACGTCAGCCTTTTTCCTCTTTCATTGTATTTCACATACTTGGTTTGGCATACCCTACAATTCCTTCCATGCATACTATTTTCTTTATAGTTTTCTGGATATCACTGTCCTTTCCCACTATTTTGGTCTAAGTCCCAATCCTTTTGTTTGAGTCTATCCATTCAGTTTTTTAATATTTTTTTGGAGCTTGTTCCATTTTCCCCCACCACTGCATTCAGGCATACAAAAAGACCCTGTATCACAGAAAGCCTTCTAACTGAAGACAATGAGAAAAACCTCCCCCAAGAGACATGTCAGCCCTAATGCATCATTTGGCCAAGGACAGTACAATATTTACTTGACTGCACAACAACCCTGAATGTAAGATGATCACCCAACAATTACATTCTAAGCATGGACAGATTAAAAATTTGTTATAATTTTCTATGTATATAATCTAATTATTGGAAGGCTAACTTTAATTCATACCCTCAGCACAGCCAGGGGGCAGGCAGCGAGCAGGCAGTTGGGAGGTCAAGCAGCTTTCCACCTGCTGTTACATGCCCCTACCCCCTCTACCTTTCCCCCAACCCCTCCTCACCACAGCCTCAGGTCCCTCCTGGACCCCTGCTCCCCCTCCTTCCCCTTACCTGTGCTTTGTACAGCCAGGCTCCATCCCTGATTTAGCCTGGGGCACTGACCATGGCCCTAGCCCTGGCCCTGGCCCTGGCCAGCGCTTACAGCAGCTGTGCATCACTGCTATGGGCTGTGCTGGGGCTGTGCTCAGTGCTCCAGGCTACAGCATGGACAGAGCCTGACGGTGTGGAGCAAAGGTAAGTGGTGGGGAGTGAGGCAGACGGGGAGCACAGACTGCACGGGGAGGTTGTGGGGGATAGCAGAACACAGAGGCAATGGTAGAGAAGGTGGGAGGAGGGGACCAGGCAGCAGCTGCAGCTTTGGCCAGACCATGGGTAGGGGCTGGAGTCAGAGCTGCATCGTCTCCCCCTTGCCCCCATGATTTTAAGGCTTGGGGCTTCCTTCCCCACAACAAACAGGGGAAATAAAGTCATCTTAGAATAGAGTAAATATGGTATATTGAGGGGAGGAATTTAAAGAGATACAAGATATGCCATACCACATGGGATGGTCCAAAGGGGAAGTGATACTTAAGATAGGCTGAAACCAGACCACTGGAGCAGTTACTACCTGCCTTTTTGTTGGGAGAAAAAGGGAGAGGTTCATCTCTCCTGCGCTTTTTACCATAGTCCAGTTGGGTCAGACCCTCTTTTATTAATTCCTTCTCCTTTCCTTTGTTCTGCCAGCTGTTACTCCTTCCCCTCCCAATTTCTTCTTCTTCTTTGGCCCTCCAGTTTTTGTTATATTCTTTCTTTCTCTTTCTGTGTCTCTTTTTCATTCAGAACATGTCATAGTTTCATAGTGCTTAGGGTTGGAAGGGACCTAAACAGATCATCAGGTCCGACCCCCTGCCCTGGGCAGGAACGAGTGCGGGGTCAGAACACCTCAGCCAAATATCTGTCCAGCCTCCTCTTGAAGACCCCCAAGGTAGGAGAGAGCACCACCTCCCTTGGGCATCCATTCCAGAGCTTGGCAGCCCTAACTGTAAAGTAGTGTCTCCTGATGTCCAGCCTGAACCTTCTCTCTAACAAATTGTGGCCATTATTCCTAGTAACCCTGGGTGGTGCCCAGGGGAACAGAGCCTCTCCCAATTCCCGCTGGTCCACCCCGGTGAGTTTGTAAACGGCCTCCAGATCCCCTCAGACTTCTCTTGTGGAAGCTGAATAGATTCAGGCCCTTCAGCCTCTTTTCGTAGGGCCTGACTTTCTGCCCCTTGACCATGTGAGTGGCCTTCCTCTGGACCCTCTCAATGCTAGCCACATCGCTCTTGAAGTGCAGCGCCCAGAACTGGACACAGTACTCCAACTGTGGCCTGACCAACGCCTTGTAGAGGGGAAGGATCACCTCCCTGGACCTGCCTGCGATGCATCTGTAGATGCACAACAAGGTGCAGCTAGCTTTACTGACCACTTCCTTGCATTGGCGACTCATGTTTATCCTGGTGTCAACAATGACTTCAAGATCCCTTTCTGCCACCATGTTGACAAGAAAGGTGTTCCCCAGCCTGTAGTTGTGTTGCTGGTTTCTTCTCCCTAGATGCAGCGCCTTGCACTTGTCTGCACTGAATTCCATCCTATTCTCATCCGCCCACCTCTGCAACCTGTCCAGATCTAGCTGGATTCTGTCCCTCCCCTCCAGTGTGCCCGCCTTGCTCCACATCATGGTGTCATCAGTGAATTTGGACAGCGTGCTTTCACCACCCACATCCAGATTGCTGATAAAGATGTTGAACAGTACAGGTCCCAGGACAGAGCCCTGGGAGACTCCACTGCCCACATCCCGCCAGGTCGAAAATGACCCATGCACCACCACTCTCTGAGTGCGACCATCTAGCCAATTTGCCACCCATCTGACTGTAGGCATCAATGCCGCAGTCACCTAGTTTTTTTGAGAGAATGTGGTGGGAAACAGTGTCAAACGCCTTCTTAAAGTCCAGGAAGATGACATCCACCCAGACACCCTCAGAGACTTTGTGACCTGATCATAAAAGGAAACCAGGTTAGTCAGGCGGGATCTGTCCTCAATGAACCCATGTTGGTTGCCCCTGAGCACTACCTCCCCTGCTGGGCCCTTGTAGATGTGCTCCTTGATAATTTTCTTAAAGGTCTTCCCAAGGACTGAGGTGAGACTAACTGGCCTATAGTTACCTGGGTCCTCCTTTCTCCCCTTCTTGTAAATGGGGACCACATTGGCCCTTTTCCAATCCTCTGGTACCTGGCCAAAGGCCCACAAGCTCTCATACAGCCATGCCAGGGGCCCCGCTATGACCCCCGCCAATTCCCTCAGCATCCTTGGGTGAAGAGCATCTGGACCTACTGATTTAAACATGTCCATTCACTCCAACAATTCCCTAACTAGGTCATTCCTGACCCTAGGCATGGCGGTGCCTTCCCTGGGCCCATCCGTAATCTTAGCGGGGGAAATGTCCCGGTCCTTGTTCAGGAGTATGGAGGCAAAGAATTTGTTAGAGAGGTCAGCTTTTTCATTAGCTGCAATCACCATATTGCCAAGCCTGGCCTGTAGGTGCCCCATGTTCCCCAGGGCCACCTTCTTACTCCCTGTGTATTTGAAAGAGGACTTTTTGTTATCCCTAATTCTGGTCGCTAGCCCTAGCTCCATCTCTGCCTTGGCCTTCCTAACAGCCTCCCTGCAGTCCCAAGCAATGGAGGTGTAATCCTCCTTGGTGATAGCCCCTTGCTTTCACTGTTTGTACACCTCCTTTTTTGCCCTCAGGCATTCCTGGATGCTTTTGCTGAGCCATGGGAGCTTTTTAGCACTCGTGTCCCCCTTGGTGCGCATTGGGACTAACTCCCTTTGAACTTGGAGGATCGTCTCCTTGAGGAACAACCTCCCATCTTGAACTCCCATCTCATCAAAGCTCTGAGACCCCAATGTCTCTCCTACTAATCTTGTTAGCTCATTGAAGTCAGCCCTCCTGAAGTCAAGGACTTTTGCCTTACTGCTTGCTTTCACCACCCTGTGCTGGATAGTAAATTCCAGCAGGCGATGATCACTGTTGCCCAGGTGATTGAGTATCTGCAGACCCCTCGCCAGATTGTCGCCTGTGGCAAGGACCAAGTCTAGCAAGGCATTTCCCCTGGTGGGACTATGCACTTCCTGGGTTAGGTGGAGGTCCCGTATCCCAGCTAAGAACCTACGTGAGCGGTCGGACCTGGCTGACTGCTCCTCCCAGCAGATGTCTGGGTAGTTTAGGTCACCCATGACAACCACATTCCTTGCCTTTACAGCCTCTGTGAGCCAACCTGAGAATTCTAGGTCCAGCTCATCCCCCGGTGAGGCGGTCTGTAGTAGATGCCCACTATCAAGTTGCTTTCCCCACGAGCCCCTTGCATTCTAACCCAGAGTGCCTCAGTTAGCCCTTCTTCTGAACCCGTCCTGATCATTGTACTCTTTGACACAGAGCGCAACACACTGCTCTGTCCCGCCTGTACAGCCTGTAGCCCTTGATGTCCACGGCCCAGTTGCGAGTAGAATCCCACCAGGTTTCTGTGAGCCCCACTAGGTCTGGGTTTTTGCTAGCTAGCAAAAACTAGCTAAAAAAAAAGGTCCAGAAGTGAAGAATCACAACAGCCCCAGCAACAAGAGAAAATGAGCAGCAGGGCGCAAAAGCCCCCATGGCTCACCAAAAGCATCCAGGAATGTCTTCTAGCTAAAAGGGAGGTGTACACCCAGTGGAAGGGAGGGGCCATCACCAGGGAGGACTATACTGCGGTTGCTCAGGGATGCAGGGGGGCGGTCAGGAAGGCCAAGGCGGAGATGGAACTGGGATTTTCTTCCTGGATCAAGAACAAGAAGTCCTTTTTTAAATACATAGGGGGCAAAAAGAAGGTACTGGGTAATGTAGGGCGCCTGCAAGACACACTGGGAAATTTGGTTGTCACACCAGACAACAAAGCTGATCTATTTAACCACTTCTTTGCCTCCATTTTCCTAAGCAGGGACCGGATCAGCCCCCCCACTGGCCCCCCCTCAGGCCCCAGGGGAGGCTCACCTAGGCCAAGGGTAAGTGAGGATCTAGTCAGGGAACTTCTGGAGGGACTGGATGTATTTAAATCAGCTGGTCCAGATGATCTCCACCCCAGAGTGCTGAGGGAATTAGCTGAGGTCATTGCGGGACCCCTGGCAC